GCCACACATCTGTTCGACCAACGCCAGTTGATCTAAACGCCAGTAGATCTAAACGCCAGTAGATCTAAACGCCAGTAGATCTGGAACACCGGCCCCGTTTGACAGATGAATGCGACCTTGCAGGCAAACCGCAGCGCCTGGTGGCTGAGCAGAGGGATGAGATGAGTACCTGATCACTTTGAGGATGGTGTTCCTGTACCGCAGCGGGTCTGACTGGACGTTGGGGTTGGACAGAGCTCTCCTCAGCTCCCTCACCGTCTCCTCCCCGCCCAGATAAGGCATGGTAGCTAAGAGACACAAAAAACATCATTCTGCTTGTCAGTAACAAGCAGGTCCAACTGCACCTCTGGCTGTTGTTTTGATAACGCAGCCGGTGACCCAGCGTTCAGCCGGTGAGATAAAACGCAAAGCTTTTATATGACCCAGTAACACACGAACTTGTTCATTTTAAAAGCGTTACCGTTTAGCACTTTGAAGGACGAAGTTCATCCGTAACAACACACAAAAATGACTAGAATAATTACTCCCTCTACACATCCGCATTTCTTCTTCAGTGTTGTTTTTCTCGTTTTAATCCCACGCTGCTCTCTGCTGGCTGGCGTGAGTATAGCACGACAAAGGTAATACTCTCCCCTATCTGATACTTTGTTTATATTTCGGTGGAAAATGTTGCTTTACTCCATTTACTCCATCTGACAGTGGTTGTTAATCGTGTGCAGACCGACATAGGGTACAGTCTTATAGATTTAACTGCCTAGAGCAGAGCTGGATTAAACCACTGCAGGCACCTAAGAAACTGTTGCGTTTCAGTGACCCTTGTTACATTCTTTCTATAAGCATAGTATTGTTTAAAACAGAAAAGTAAATGCACACAGCAAAAAAGATCAAATTTGTAGATCCACAAACCAACTATTAAACTAAATTATCTATATTTCATCCCTGGATGTCTGGGACCATACAGTCCTTTTCTACTCTTGGCTGATAATCAGACTTTGTATAGCATAAGAATAAACTCAAATAATTATGACAAGACTGCTATAATCAAAAGAAAATATTTTTTTTAAATCATGCACATGAATGTTGGTCCAGATGCAAATGTGGAAAGTCAGAAGCTAGGAGAGTAGCAGCAAGAGCACAGTTCCTTTAGTTTTAGTTTTCCTATTGAAACTGATATATCCCATGATGCTGATGCTCAAAGTTGGTTATGGAAAAAATGGGGAAAACAATATGATTTTCACTCAATATTGTTACATTTTGCTTTAAATTGATTTGGTTGAAATTACAGAAAACTTGTAATGCGTCTCTTCTGTCCAGAACATTTCATCTGGTTTTATCCTGCACTGATGTTTATGCAGGAAATGGTGGCACAAATAAGGTGATTTAAAAATAACCAAAATTCAACCTACTCCTGTGAACTTATTCTTGTGTTGTCCAGGGAGGGACTCACTGATTTCCATGGAAATCCCTCAGACAGCATCAGGTTTACATGCAAACATGCATGGATCAGCTATCTGTATACAGATCACTTTGGTAACCCAGTGTAAATCAGGCCGTATGCCGCTATAACTTTCTACGCATGCAGCCATTTGAAGATGACAAAATCCAGAATTTAACTGAAAAACTGTTAGCAGTGCATTTGCATATATTCATCCACCCAGTAGATCAATACTACTCTATTTACTCCAGGTAGGTAGGTAGGTAGGTCTCAGTGGATGGGTTTTTTTTTGTCTTCCAGAACAAGATCATGTTAAATGAGGCACATGCGTAGTGATGGATGTGTGTCAGTGCCACAAAGTAAAATGGGTCAACGGTCTCAATGTCAAAATGCTGGAGTAGCTATTAATCTAGAAATGAATATGATGTGAGATTAACATTTGTGAATTTGGACGTTGTCTGAATGTCCAAGTCAACACCAGTGATGGAGGAGCTGTCTGAGCAGCTTAATATTACAAGTATAATAGCAAGCAGGATGACTGATACTAACAACACGGTAGTACAGTCCTGACACGACTGGTGTATGCTTGTATTAAACATGACCAAAGGTTCAAATAATGAACTCATTGTATGTACTAATCCCTGTGAGGCAAAAGATCAGGCTTCAGACTGCTCCAAACCCCTTCAATGTTATTCTTAGCACTTTTCAGTGAAGGTTTCTTGGTGTAAAAATAAAAACGTGCCTTCACACTACAGTTGCATAAGACCCAAACAGCACTTTGGTCTAAATTGATGATGGGTTTATTTGATTGTGAAAAGCAAGAAATCTACAAACAGACAGCACTAGACCTCCAGCACTGAAAGTCCAATCCCTGATCCAGAGACAAACATCCACTCTGCCCGGCCCTGCTGGTTGGGGTTTGAAAGGCAGAGCTTCATTAACAAGGAAGGGCGGACTTTGTGCTTGGGCGGTCAGGCGACTGCTGACCCAGGTGGACAATCTGAACACGGCCCAACAGGTCCCAAAGGAAGCTGCTCAAACCTTCCTCTGGATGGCGTGGGCAGAGCCAGGTTCTAGGAGTGATACATCATTTCTTTTCCACAGTAAACCGTCACCAAATTAACACATTTAATGTTAGCCATACATCCTAAAATAAATCACCCTAATCCAACCATAACACACACACACACACACACACACACACACACACACACACACACACACACACACACACACACACACACCTCATTATTTGCTACTTTGGGCAAGTATGATTCAGTATTTTTCTTTTTTATAGAACTGAAACTCATTTTCCAGAAGCTGTTTATGATTTTGATAAATCATATAAAACAAGTTTTCTATATGAAAGGCAACAGGGAAAAATAATGCTGAGAGAGGCAGTACATTGTGCCCTGAAGTTACAACATGAAACATGAGAAGTACACCATGTTTTAGCAGCTCCTTCTAAAGCTGGACATGTATGCAGCCTGTGGTCCATTTCCTGTCTCAGTGGATCACATGACACTGGGTTTTGGTCTGTGCACTGTCAACTTTTTGACAGAAAAGGTAGATGGGATGAACAACAATTAATACACACATAGACACACTTATTCTCTCTTGCACACACACACACACCAGAACAGTGTCAGAGGGTGACAGTGTCTATGACACACTGGGGCTTGGGTCAGGGCTGGTGGAGCTGTTTTCCTGATTTGCTGCCTGGCTTCCTCGGGGTGGAACCTCGATAATGCGGGGTTTGTCAATGATGCGAGCATGGCGGTCGCCTTTCTCCACAATACCAATAATCCACGCTCCGCCCACCGCCCCCTGACCCCCTGCTCCGGAGCTGAGGTTTTTCATCTCTGAGCAGAACTTGGCTGCCTGCTCTCTGGGCAGACACACCAGCAGCCCACCTGGAGAAGAGGGGGAAGAAGGGATGTGAGTTTCTAGCTTTAAATACTGCATTTATTCAAATTTAACCACATGTTTAATGTCACTGGTTGTACCGGATGTCTCAGCTGAAGTGCCCTGAAGCAGGTTAAACAGGTTTCCGCAGGCTTTACTGATGGCAGCCATCTTGGCTATGATTGGAAGGTTATGGATAACAAAGGCCACCTCGTTTTGCTGCTGTCTTGCCAGGTTGTTGGCGTGACCCAACAAGCCGAAACCAGTCACGTCTGTGGCAGCGTGGGCCTGGTACTTGTGCATTAGACCCGCCGCTGGAGGCAAAATGTGAATGAGCCAGAGTAGAACCACAAGAAAGAAAAGGGAAAATAAATTAATCAATAGCAGCTGATATAAAGTCTGCTAACTGTAATTGAAACATTATTTAGTTAAATAGTTAACTAATAATACATTTGCATGACCACTAACGACTCAAGATCTTAATCAAAGTAGTGTACCTGTGCGGTTAAGGGTTGCCATGGAAAACATAGCTTCCTGATAGGCCTCTATAACTTCCTCTTTGGTGACAACCAGCTTGATCTTGTTCCACTTTTCAGGCTGGTAAAACAAAAACAACAACAAGATAATTAATCTTCAAAGCAGTGCTTTTATACATTTCTACATGCACAATGACCCACACATGGCAGCTGTGAACCTTTGCAGGAAGGAGAACTGTTAGCAAACAAAACATTTTTTTGTTACACGGACACAAACCCTGTCAGCAGTCTTGGGCGTTTCATCAAAGAACTGGAGCAATTTTAGCTCATGTGACCAGGAAGTAACCAATACATATTGTCTTTCTTGTAAACATTTTTCCAAATGTGTCAGCATGCAATTCTCACCAGATATTGTCAACCAAGTGCCAATTAATATCATGGTGTGGGGCTGTTTTCAGCTAGCCAACAAAGCTACCACACTACAAATAACACTGAAGGAAGGATGAAAGGAAAAATGTACTGAGACATTCATGATAAAAGTCTGCTGCCATCTACCAGGAGGATGAGGATGAAACGAGGGTGATGTTTCAGCAAGACAATGATCCCAACCACACAGCTAAGGAAACTCTCAATTGGTTTCCTGTGGCAACATTACACTTAATATTTCTGTGAACACAGTTGAATGGCTAACCTGATCGATCCACAGATAAGCGTTTACAGCCACCCGAGTGCCCAGAGGTTTGGTCAGCACCAAAACGTCACCTGGTACAGCCCCATCAGGCCTGGAAAATAAAACAAAACGTAAACATAAAACATGCAAATCTTTGCATTTTGTGAGTCACAACCTTTCATAATGCGTTATTCATAAAAGGTCTTTGTTTCTTTGTCTTCACAGGCATCTCTGCTAATGAGGCACTGGCAGAACTTTTATTGTTCAATAGAATTTTATTGCCGATGAGCAATAAAAGTTAGTCATACCCAGAATATTGTAGCTGTAAGAGATAAGAATGCAGAGCGTCTCACAACACAGAGTTGTGTGGTCCCCCATGTTTCACAGCTGCTCAAACACAACCAGTATTTGAGTGAACACCCTCACTCTTGTTATGAAAGCTTAGCTGGATGTGGCCCTTCCTCCCCAGGCATCCTGGCTAGTTCAGTTATGCAGGTCTTGTCCTGCTGTGAGGCAGACTCCAACTCCACCTACTTGGACTGCAGTAGTCCTTGTTTTACACTGAAGTACCACTGAGTTGAAGGCCACTCTATCTAGAACTAAGTAGAGACCTGGCTTAGCTATGTCAGGAGTTGAACTAAATGTAGATATAAGACTCTCAAGAAAAGCCTGATATTGATAAGTTTGTCACGAATAAGTTTAAAAATAACAAATTTGTTGTATTCCCAGTCATTATTGGTATTATTTGATAATTACATTAAGAACGCATGTGCACCTCCATTTGTCGTGCACATGCATCATCCCTGCCAAGAAGAAAATGTAAATCTGTGGCCACAGTTGAACACAAAATGTTAAAGTATTATTACAATTCAATGTACAGTGGGGCAAAAAAGTATTTAGTCAGCCACCAATTGTGCAAGTTCCCCCACCTAAAATGATGACAGAGGTCAGTAATTTGCACCAGAGGTACACTTCAACTGTGAGAGACAGAATGTGAAAAAAAAATCCATGAATCCACATGGTAGGATTTGTAAAGAATTTATTCGTAAATTAGGGTGGAAAATAAGTATTTGGTCAATAACAAAAATACAACTCAATACTTTGTAACATAACCTTTGTCGGCAATAACAGAGGTCAAACGTTTACTATAGCTCTTTACCAGGTTTGCACACACAGTAGCTGGTATTTTGGCCCATTCCTCCATGCAGATCTTCTCGAGAGCAGTGATGTTTTGGGGCTGTCGCCGAGCAACACGGACTTTCAACTCCCGCCACAGATTTTCTATGGGGTTGAGGTCTGGAGACTGGCTAGGCCACTCCAGGACTTTCAAATGCTTCTTACGGAGCCACTCCTTTGTTGCCCGGGCGGTGTGTTTTGGATCATTGTCATGTTGGAAGACCCAGCCTCGTTTCATCTTTAAAGTTCTCACTGATGGAAGGAGGTTTTGGCTCAAAATCTCACGATACATAGCCCCATTCATTCTGTCCTTAACACGGATCAGTCGTCCTGTCCCCTTGGCAGAAAAACAGCCCCATAGCATGATGTTTCCACCCCCATGCTTCACAGTAGGTATGGTGTTCTTGCGATGCAACTCAGTATTCTTCTTCCTCCAAACACGACGAGTTGAGTTTATACCAAAAAGTTCTACTTTGGTTTCATCTGACCACATGACATTCTCCCAATCCTCTGCTGTATCATCCATGTGCTCTCTGGCAAACTTCAGACGGGCCTGGACATGTACTGGCTTCAGCAGCGGAACACGTCTGGCACTGCGGGATTTGAGTCCCTGCCGTTGTAGTGTGTTACTGATGGTGACCTTTGTTACTTTGGTCCCAGCTCTCTGCAGGTCATTCACCAGTTCCCCCCGTGTGGTTCTGGGATCTTTGCTCACCGTTCTCATGATCATTTTGACCCCACGGGATGAGATCTTGCGTGGAGCCCCAGATCGAGGGAGATTATCAGTGGTCTTGTATGTCTTCCATTTTCTGATGATTGCTCCCACAGTTGATTTTTTCACACCAAGCTGCTTGCCTATTGTAGATTCACTCTTCCCAGTCTGGTGCAGGTCTACAATACTTTTCCTGGTGTCCTTCGAAAGCTCTTTGGTCTTGGCCATGGCGGAGTTTGGAGTCTGACTGTTTGAGGCTGTGGACAGGTGTCTTTTATACAGATGATGAGTTCAAACAGGTGCCATTCATACAGGTAATGAGTGGGGGACAGAAGAGCTTCTTACAGAAGACGTTACAGGTCTGTGAGAGCCAGAGATTTTCCTTGTTTGAGGTGACCAAATACTTATTTTCCACCCTGATTTACGAATAAATTCTTTACAAATCCTACCATGTGAATTCATGGATTTTTTTTTCACATTCTGTCTCTCACAGTTGAAGTGTACCTCTGGTGCAAATTACTGACCTCTGTCATCATTTTAAGTGGGGGAACTTGCACAATCGGTGGCTGACTAAATACTTTTTTGCCCCACTGTAGTTTCAGGGGTTCTGGAGGTTTGTTAACAGTGTTAATTATGACCCTGATTTCCTTGTTACAGAGGTAGGATTGCATTAACAGTTGGGAAAAGGGAAGATCAGGTCCAAAAGGACATAAAGAGGTCTGTAAAAATGTAATAAATATGAGGTGAAATTCTAATTGACCAACTAAAATAAACATTAACAGTGATGTAATACCAACCAATCTGCATCACTGATATCAAAACCGGTGCTTTTAAAACTGGAATTCAATTAAGGAGAACTGCACCACTGACAGACTGGGGTGATCTAACTATAGTAAAGTAAAGCTCTTTCAGGTACTCACATAATGAACTCATTAGGCTGGCAGACGACCGATGCTACTCCTCCCACAATGATCCAGGGATTTATCACAGTCTGTCCACCTGTCACTGAAGTTCCTCCCTCTTCTGCTGCGTCACGAAAGCCTCGAATCATCAGCGGCATCACGCACTCACGGTCCTGTTTCACACATGCATAAACACATGACCATAAACTATCAACGAAGCGCTTATGCTAGCTTTAATCAATGTTCATTTGTTTATGAAAATTACAAGGACACAAATCTGTTGACAGCCCCCACTTCATAATCACATCAGAGACTGACTCAACACAGCACACAAAATCCTACCTTTTCATTCATCTTCTGGCTGACACTCAGTAGCATCAGCATGTTGTCACACTCTGTGATGCCCATGGCATAGAGGTCGCTGAGGACATTAGCGCATGCTATCCTGCCCTGTAAGACAAATGGAGAGAGAGTAACAGTCATGTGACTGTTAGCTTTACAAAGCTCCCATAGATAGGTGGCACTCAAAGACAGAAATCCTCACCAAAAACTGCCAATGGCATAACTAATGAACAGAAGGAGCTGGAAGCTTTATCACAGTATCACAGTCTAATTGCCTGCGATGTGTTTTTTTTTTTTTTTTTTAAATCTTGATATTATAGTCTGCAGTACTGTTTTGGACAAAATAAGTAATAATTTAATATGTGCATTTGAGGTTTTGGTTTTATGGGCTAAAATCTCCTATTATACTGCTATAATACTATAAAAAAGATAAAAAAAAGATGTCACTTTAAACAAAGATGCCTAATTATCAGCAAGTTATCCTGTTACGTTGTTTGCATAGCTTTCCCTCCTTGCCCATGTACTGTGTAGTAATGCTTAGTGGCGGGAAATGCATGCTAGTAAACTCACCATCATGTATGGATCTTCCACCAGAGGGTAAAAGAAATCTGTGGTCTGGACAAGTGACAGTCCTCCATGTCTCAGAGGAATGACAGCGGAGTCCATCCCTATGCCTGTAAACACACCACAAGGATGAGGACAAGACAAGCAAACAAAAGTTGACTTATTTTGTGTTACTACTACTTTTTATTTTTGGTAGTCCGTATTTAACTGCAGTTAAACAAATTTAGTAGTCTAGTTATTACGGGACTGTTACACGGAATTGCCTGACACTGTCTGAACTTTACATGAATTTGTTTTAATCTTTGGGGGTTACTCAGTGTAACTTTGTATATTGCTGTTACACGGAGTTAGAAAGTGTGCAAGTCAGTTACAACAGGAACATTGGACTATCTTCACGAACTTCGCACTCAGAGCATCCGAGACATTTTGCTGACTCATACTTACCGTGTGGTAATTTGATAACTCGCAAAACACGTGTCCTATACCTGCCTGGTTAGTTAACTATTACATGTATTAATTATTAATTATTTAGCCAAGCTAAAGCACTATTCAAGCTAAAGCTAAGCACTATATGGGCAGCTTTAGCTATCAATATAGTGTGTGTGTGTGTGTGTGTGTGTGTGTGTGTGTGTATTTGAATCTTAAAGTGTTTTCCGCCCATTGCTTTCTGTCAAATAAGCTGCCATTAGTAAACACAAGCTAGCTAGGTTAGCAACAGTTGCATTAGCTAACTGACGTTAACTTGGGTTTTAGAGTATAATGGCTAGCTCTACTAACTTCGAATTTGTCCTTTACCTAGTCGTGGGCCAGGTAGCTGTTGGCCGAACTCCGAAGCTTGGTCTCCGGCCTTCCCTGTCCCGTCGGCCCGGTCCGGCTCCAGTCCCGCCAGGAGTTTGAGCAGAGCCTCCTGCGGGACTTTGCAGCCTCATCCCTTCAGTTCCGAAAAGCTTGTAAGGCGGAACCCGCGCTCCAGTCCGTGCTCCTCGGGTTTGAACGGTTTGTATCCTGGGGGAAAACATCCCTCAGTGCCCACAGCCTCCACTGTGGGAGGCGGGGAAGTTGAGCCTGACATGCTCGTGGCCCTCTTCTCCCACACAATACCAGCTGCGTAGTATAACACCGGTGAACACAGGCGCACGGATGAATGGAGCGTGTGGCTAGCGAGTGTGGTACGTGAAACGGAAGACCTTGGAAAAGTTAAACGGCATAAATGGAACTTCCTGGTGTTATTTTCACCATAAAATCGTTTGCGATTCAGCAGGTCTAACAGCATTCAAAATGTTTTTAAAAATTCCAAATACTACATTTGTTGCATAACTTGGGGATTTGATTTATTGTTACCACTATACCAGAAAAAAATAAGGGGGGGGGGGGTGGGGCAACAAATTGAATGAGCTCTAGAGAAAACGCTTTATTTTGTAGGTGATGACTCTACTTCCGGCTTCTCCCTGTGTTTC